TCTAGAACCTCTAACCCCACCTCTGGCTGGCTGGGCGGGCTATGGAACACTCGGTGCCCGAACCATGGCACGGGAACCCGGATGCTGAGAGCTGCCTGATGCTCGAGGACAAAATCTAGCAATGTGACCCGTATCACCACAAGTATAAAAAGTCCACGGCTGCTGAGACTGCTGACCCCGACGACCTGAATGGCCACCCCAAAAACTCTGGAGCGGCGGTGCACTGATAGGAGCTGGTGGTGCACTGTAGGATTGCTGATCAGAATACTGCATGTGAGAACCACGGCCACCTGAAGCACCGTGAGGAACCTGAAGTGCCGACTGAAAAGGCCTAGGAGGATGGCCTCTACCATACGAATCCCTGCCTCCCAACGAGGCGCCGCTGAATCTGCCTGAATGACGAGGCCTCTTATCAGACCCCTGACCACCTCCTTGTGATAAAACCATCTCAACCCTCCTGGCCACATTGGCCGCCTCCTGGAAAGAAATCTCATTCCCCGTCTCCTTAGCCATCTGAAGTCGAATAGGATGGATAAGTCCCTCAATGAACCTCCCCACTATCTCTCTCTCAGTGGAAAGTATAAGTAGAGCATGACGGGCCAACTCGATAAACCTGGTCTCGTACTGAGTAACAGTCATGGAACCCTGCTAGAGGCGCTCAAACTATCTCCGATAGATCTCTCTCTGAGTAACGGGAAGAAACTTCTCCAAGAATAGCTGAGTAAACTGCTCCCAAGTCAAAGTTGGTGATCCGGCTGGTCTAGCCAAACAGTAATCTCTCCACCAAGTCTTGGTGGATCCAGATAAGCGAAAAGTAGCAAAATCGACCCCATTGGTCTCCACTATCCCCATGTTCTTGAGAAGCTCGTGACAACTGTCTAGATAATCCTGGGGATCCTCAGAAGATGCACCGCTGAAAGTGGCAGTGAAGAGCTTGGTAAACCTATCCAATCTCCATAAGGCATCGGTAGTCATAGATGCCCCGTCACCGGTCTGGGCTACCACACCCGGCTGAACTGCTCCAAATGGCTGAGCTGCTGGAGTCTGAAACTAGGGAGCCACCTGCTCCGGAGTGCGAGTAGCAGGAGTCAGGGCCCTTCCTCCAGCCTGAGAGACGGCTGGGGCTACAGGAAGCAAGCCTGCGTGGGTGACACTCTCCATGAGGCCCACTAGACGAACCAGAGCATCCTGAAGTACTGGAGTAGCAATGAACCCCTCTGGGACCTGAGCTAGGCCCACCGGAGTTGTCTGGGCCGGAACCTCCACGTCAAACTCAACCTGAGGCTCCGCCTCTGGTGCTGCTACTCCGGGCTGAGCTCTGCCCCTACCTCGGCCTCTAGCACGACCTCAGCCTCACCCTCTGCCCCTCATGAGAGCTGCTGCTGGGGGCTCGGGCTCCTGATCAGCGAATGAGGAAGCGCGTGTTCTCGGCATCAGCGAAATAACAGAGTAGAAATTCGACTAGCATTGAGAAACCAAACCGCACGACAGGAAAGAATAGATGTGAAGTTTTTCCTAACTCTATAGCCTCTAGGGGATAAATACAGACGTCTCCGTACAGATCCCTCAGACTCTACTAAGCTTGTCTAAGAATTGTGAGACCTATGTAACCTAGAGCTCTGATACCAACTTGTCATGACCCGGATTTCCCACCCTCGGGAGTCGTGATGGCGCCTACTAGTGAAAGCTAGGCAAGCCAATCAACTGAATTATTTGACTTGTTTCCATTTTTAAATTCGTTAACAATTTAGAACCAACAATCTATAAGCAACATAATTTAATCAAGCGGAAGATTCAATTTCATGTTTAAGAATACTGCTAACACCATTCCAAAACAAAACTACCCCAAGATTGGTGTCACAACTTCACATACTGTCTAAGAGTACTACAAATAAAGGTCTGAAAGAAATAACAAATTACGGTCTCTAGGACTACATAAAAGAAACAGGAAAATATATAGAGGGAGACGCCAAGGCCTGCGGACGCCTGCAGGACTACCTCGGGTCGCCTGCAAAAAATCTCACTGCGGTCCGAAATGTGCAGCACTGGGATCTGCACAAAAGAGTGCAGAGTGTAGTATCAGCACAACCGACCCCATGTGCTGGTAAGTGCCTAGCCTAGCCTCCGCGAAGTAGTGACGAGGCTAGGACCAGACTACCAAATAAACTTGTGCAGATAAATAATGTATAGCGGAAAAATAAAAGCAGAAGTATATATATAGTCCAGGATGGGAGGGGGAAACATGCTACGGGGAAATTTCCAATGACAACAGGAGGACAACAAGCAAATATATGGAACACCACAAGCATTCAATTATCAGCAAGAAGAAATTAACAAGTGCACGACATTACCCTTCGTGCTTTTACACTCTTCCTCACCCAAACGACAAACACAAGCAATAAGGGCAAGGAATAAATGAATCGTAATAAAATCCCGGCAAGGGAACAAAATCAAACCACAACATCCCGGCAAGGGAACAACATTAAAAGCAACAACGCCCCGGCAAGGGATCAATACCCTAATCCTCTTCTCATTTTCACATTTACCTCACAACTTGGTTCACAATTTGAGCCAATGCTCTATAAGGTTCAATTGCCAAATTATACTGCCACAAATCACTTTACAACTTGAGCCAACGCTCTTCAATTTAAAATTACCAATAGTCTTTCCACAAACCTTGATCAACAATAGCAATCACCAAATTAAACATGAACAATACAAACGGAGTCACATTAATCACAAAATAAGACTCACGGGCATGCTTGACACCAACGTATAGGTACTCGTCACCATGCCTATACTTCGTACTCAACAAATAACACATAGCAGATATGACACAACTCCTAATCCGTCAAGCTAAGGTTAGACCAAACACTTACCTCGATGCCACGAACACAGATCAAGCCTCAACTATCACTTTACCTCTTGATTCCACCACCAATTCGCTCGTATCTAGTCACAAGTTACTTGATTACATCAATAAATGCTAAATGAATTAATTCTAATGCATGGAAATAAGTTTTCTAAAGTTTTTCCCCAAAAGACAAAAACTGCCCCGGGCCCACATGGTCAAAACCCGAGGTTCGAACCAAAACCCGACTATCCATTCACTTACGAACTCAAATATATAATTTTTTTTGAAATCGGACCTCAAATCGAGGTCCAAATCCTCAAAATTTGAAAAACCTAGGTTCTACCCAAAACACCCAATTTTTCCCATGAAAATCATTGATTTTGAGTTGAAATCATGTGAAAAGATGTTAAGGATTGAAGAAAACTAGTTAGAAACGACTTACAATCAATTTGGAGAAGAAGTTGCCTTTGAAAAATCGCCCTAGAGTGTTTATGTTTTGAGAAGATATGAAAAATGGTTAAAAATGCGTCTAAGTGTGGATTTATAGGTCTCTGATGTCGCAATTGCGAACCCAGACTCTGCTGTTGTCGCATTTGCGAAGTGACTTTCGCATTTGCGAAGTCTCTTTTGCGATCAATCTGTCGCATTTGCGACACTGGGGAAATGCGGGCCTCTTCGCAAATGCGATGGCCCTTTCGCATTTGCGATGGCAGTTTCGCATTTGCGACCCCAGAACGTACCAGGTCTCGTCGCATTTGCGATAAATTCCTCGCATTTGCGAGCCAGGCTTCGCAAATGCGAAGCCTGCAGATCTGCAACATACCAGCAAACTACTAAGTCCAATTTTACTCTGTGGCCTATCCAAAACTCACCCGAGCCCTCGGGGCTCCAAACCAATCATGCACGCAAGTGCAAAAACATCATAGGGACTCGCTCGTGCACTCAAATCACCAAAATAATATCAACAACTATGAATTTATCATCAAAATGATGAAATCACTTGAGAACATCAAATTTGCTAATTTTCTCAAATAAGGTCCGATTCACGTCATTTCAAGTCTGTTTCTTACCAAATTTCACAAACGCAACTTAAATCACATATAAGACCTGTACCGGGCTCCGAAACCAAGATACGGGCCCGATTCCATCAAATTTCAAACACATTTCATTTTCAAAAACTCATGTATTTTTGAGAAAATAATTTTCTTTAAAAATTCATTTCTCGGGCTAGGGACCTTGGAATCCGATTCCGGGCATACGCCCAAGTCCCATATTTTCTTACGGACCTCCCGGGATCATCGGAACACGGATCCGGTCCGTTCGCTCAAAATGTTGACCGAAGTCAACCTAAATTTATTTTAAAGGCAAAATTCATTATTTTTCACAGATTTTCATATAATGGCTTTCCGGCTACGCGCCCGGACTATGCACGCAAATCGAGGTAAGGTAAAAAGAGGTTTTTTAGGCCTCGGAACACTGAATTTGTTTCTAAAACAAGTGATGACTTTTTGGGTCATCACAGAACAAGAACTTCCTAATATGTATTTTGTCATGGTTGGAACTTTCCATTCAACTTACACTTAACTATTTTGTTCCCTCAAATAAAATAATTCTAAAATATATGAAATAATTAGCATTATAAATATAAATAATATAATAATACCTTATGCTAGCCACTGTAAAACTAGTAAAAAAAGATCAGAAATTGAAGCTCGTTGATGGAGGTTGGGGGTTTTCTAGAGAGTTCTTCATATGAGAGAATAGAAGAAAAGAAATGATGAAAGTAACCGGCCAACGTTTAACAGTTGTGGCCTCCTTGTATTTATAACTTGTCTATACAATGTAAAGAATGGCTAACCACTAAATGAATAACTACTATGCTATATTAACAAAGAAGAATGGCTAACTAGTATAAAAGGCTACAAAAGGCTAAGTATAAAATAAATATTTGGGCCAACTTAAGTATGCTGCTTTAGGCCTGAAGTAGTGCAAGCTGGTGGCCCAATACCCTCCTTCAAGTTGGAGGGGGAAACAACCTTCAACTTGCCAAGAAAGGAGTGATGGAGGACACCAGTGAGTGGCTTGGTGAAGACATCCGCCAGCTGCTCAGAGGTAGGATTATGTGACAATTGGATGAAGCCTTCAGTCAACTTGCTCCGGATGAAGTGACAGTCACTTCAATATGTTTAGTGCGCTCGTGGAAGACAGGATTTTTGGCAATGTGAATGGCTGCCATATTGTCACAAAAAATAGAAATGGGAAAGGAAACATCAATAGTAAGATCATGCAACAACCTGGACAGCCAAACCAATTCAGCAACGGCCTTACTAACAGCTCTATACTGAGCTTCAGTGGAAGAAAGAGAAATCACATGCTGTTTCTTTGATTTCCAGCCAACAAGGCTATCACCCAAGAAAATGCAAAAACCAGAAACAAATTTGCGAGTGTCAGGGCAAGCATCCCAATTACTGTCAGAATAAGCCTTGATAGAGAAATCAGTAGAGGTAGAGTAAAAAAGACCAAGGTTAGGAGTACCCTTGAGGTACCTAAGCAAATGAAGAGCAGCAATCATGTGAGGAACCTGGGGAGTCTGCATAAACTAGCTCAGATGTTGAACATTAAAGCAAATATCAGGCCGGGTGTGAGTCAAGAACAATAGCTTCTCATTGAAATCTACCCCCTCAACCTGGGTATCCCCTCTAATAACAAGCCTAGCCTTATATCTTTCTACTTTACCTTTAGCTTTGTATTTAATTTTATAGACCTATTTGCAACCAATAGGCTTCTTACCTAGGGGTAATTCAACAATATCCCAAGTGTTATTAGCTTCTAGGGCTTCAAACACTTTTCTCATAGCATCCCGCCAAGCTGGAAAAGGGGCTACCTGAGAATAAGTATATGGCTCAAACTCTACAGGTTGGATAGCAGAACAGGAAAGAAAACTAGGTAGCTTATAAAGGTAATCCTTTAGATAGGAGGGATGAGTGTGTGTTCTAGCAGATTTCTTGAGTGGTGCAACAGAGGTTGCAGGAGAAGAAGTAGATGCAACAGATTCAAATAAAGCATCAGTAATGTGAGAAGAAGGTGAAGCATCAGAAGGTGAAGGGAGGTTGACAGAAGGTGAATGGTAGTTGTCAGTAGTATTGGGGTAAGATGGAGCATCAAAAGGGAAAAAAATTGAAAGAGGACTAGAAGGAGTGGTAGCATCAGGAGGCATATCAGGTTCAAACCAACAGGTTAGAACAGATGATGAGGTAGTTGACAATGGGGACTTTGATACAATTGGAAGGGAAAAATCTGAAGAGAAAGGGAAGAGTTGTTTATGAAAAATGACATCTCTAGAGACAAAATACTGTTTTGACTGAAGGTTATATAACTTATAACCTTTCTTTGCAAAAGGGTAGCCAAGAAAGACACATGGAATAACTCTAGGTTTCAGTTTGTCTCTTTGAGGAATGGGAACAGTAGCAAAACATAGGCGGCCAAAAGTTCTTAAGTGTGAATAACTAGGTGTCTTGCCAAACAACAATTCATAAGGTGATTTATTTTGTAGTAGTCTAGAGGGGAGTCTGTTAATGATGTATGTGGCTGTGAGGAGACAATCTCCCCATAATCTGATTGGTACTTTGGATTGGAAAAGCAAAGCTCTAGAAGCTTTTAGGAGGGTTCTATGTTTCCTCTCCACCACACCATTTTGTTGAGGTGTGTGTGGACAACTAGTTTGATGAATGATTCCATTTTCAGAAAAGAAGGAAACTGCAACATTGCTATTTCCTAATTTTAGAGCATTATCAGACCTTATGCTTTGGATGGTGACATGAAATTGAGTTTGAACCATCAATACAAAAGCCTTCAGGAGGGGAAAGGCATTACTTTTGGACCCCATTAGATGAGTCCAAGTGCATCTAGATAAGTCATCAACAATGGTAAGGAAATATTTGGAGCCTGAATATGTAGAAGTGTGATATGGTCCCCAAGTGTCAACATGAACAAGTTGAAAGGGCTTAGAACTATGAATAGAACTATCAGGAAATGGTAATCTAGTTTGTCTAGCCATGGGACAAATAGTACATGGAAAAGACTGTGCAGAAGAAATATGAGAAGAAATTTCAGAAATACTTTTCATCTTAATAAAAGGAACATGTGCAAGTCTATTATGACAAACAATGTCCATTTTATTCATAGCAACTTTATTACAAGAGGGAAAAACAGTATTTACAGCACAAGGAAGATGATCAGAAACAAATGAAGATGACAAGCTGTTGCAGGCATTTGACACAGTAGCCTGAGGTTGAGAGGGCTTTTCCCACACAAATTTGTACAGCCCACTGTCCAGTTTACCAAGATCCAGGGGCTTCTTCAGAGAAGGGCCTTGTATGAGACATGAATGTCTAGTAAACTGAACTATACGATCAAATTGGTCTGTGAGTTTGTGTACAGAGATGAGATTGTGCTTAAAGGACGGTAGATAAAGGACATTGTGAAGAATTATAGACTCAGTCAAAACAAAGGAACCTGTGCAAGTAACTTTTACTTTATAACCATTTGGAAGAGACACTGGAAAAGGAATAGGTAAAGGTGTGATATTAATGAGATATTCTTTATTAGCAGTCATATGGTCAGAAGCACCAGAGTCAACTAGCCAAGTTAAGGAATCAGATTGGTTTAGCAAAGTAGAGTTGAAACTATACACTACATTCTTAGGCAATAGAGTACCAGCAAAGTTGGCAGAACTCATGATATTGAATTGAGGTACAGGATCAGAGACATGAGATTGTTGCAACAGGGAGAGAAGTTGAGAGTATTGCTGCTTTGTCAGCCCAGGCACCACAGAAGCATTTTCAGCAACATGCACAATAGAGGTTTGATTGGAAGAGGTGCAGTCAGAAGCAGAGAACTCAGAATCTGTCACCATATTAGCAGCTGCCTTTCTAGACTTAGTAAACTTGAAGTTAGTAGGAAAGCCATGAAGCTTGTAACACTTATCAATTATGTGCCCATGCTTCTTGCAATACTTGCGGAAGAGTGTTAGAGGTCCTGGACTGATTATCAAAGTTCACTCTTTGAGTAAACTGTCTCTACTGCCTTTGGAATTGCATATTCAGTTGAGGATGAGTAGTTTTACTAAGGGAATTCACATTGAAAGAGGTTGCTTCAGAGGTAAATTGAGAGGTGGGTTGACTTGTCTTTACTTTTCATCTTGAAAAAGAATGTTATAGACATTATCGAGGGATGGTAGAGGTTGCATCATCAACAGATTGCTTCTCACACCAACATAAACCTCATTCAATCCCATGAGGAACTGATGGACCTTGTCCTCCTCTTTCTCCTTTTGGAGACCCTCTTTAGCAGCACATTTGCAAGAATTTGCATGACTACTGCACATCACTCCCAATTCATCCCAGATTCTCTTTAGTTTTGTAAAATATGAAGCAATATCAAGGGATCCGTGATAGGTAGAGGCATGTTCCCTTTTTAGTTCAAAAACTTTGGTCCCATTTACACTACCATACCTATTATTTAATTATTTTTATATACTTTCGGTTGTCTCAGAGTATTGAACACTTTTAGCTATATCTGGTGATAATGAACTTGTTAACCAAGATATCACCATATTATTACAGTGGTCCCAGTTTATAATCAGGGAAAGTTGCAGCAGGTTTAGGACACGAACCGTCTATAAATGCTCTTTTGTTCCTAGCAGACAATGACACTATCATACTACGTTTCCAACCTCCAAACCCACTCCCCGAAAATGGTACAGGAACCAGGGACACGCCAGGCACATCAGACGACAGAAGAAATAGAGGAGATTTTGTGTTAGGAGTATACGCAGAAGAAGAAGTAGAACCAGTCATGGTTAGAACGACTAAATCACCAACAAACACTTTAGGCTGAAATCAAAATCCAACACATGAAAAAGAGAGATACAAATACTAGCCTTCTTCGCAACCTGAAGAAGTAAGGCCATGATATAGTAGAACAGCTTCAGCGAACCAACAAAAATCGAGGAAACCCTAGCTCCGAGAAAAATCGAGGAAACCCTGGCTTGAACAAAAGTCAGATCCCAGCAGCCACACCAGAGAGATTCAGTACAATTTACACCGTAAAATGGACTCAATCGCAAAGGAACAAAGTGTTTTTGACAGAAAATCACAAAAAAAATCACGAAGCTCCGATGAAGACAGATCTCGATGAAAAATATCAGATAGGGTTAACACCGTTCGACATAGATAAGCATGATCTAACAGATTCCCTGCTCTGATACCATGTAAAACTAGTAAAAAGAGATCAGAAATTGAAGCTCGTTGATGGAGGTTGGGGGTTTTCTAGAGAGTTCTTCATCAGAGAGAATAGAAGAAAAGAAATAATGAAAGTAACCGGCCAACCTTTAACAGTTGTGGCCTCCTTGTATTTATAACTTGTCTATACAATGTAAAGAATGGCCAACCACTAAATGAATAACTACTATGCTATATTAACAAAGAAGAATGACTAACTAGTATAAAAGGCTACAAAAGGCTAAGTATAAAATAAATATTTGGGCCAACTTAAGTATGCTGCTTTTGGCCTGAAGTAGTGCAAGCTGGTGGCCCAACAGCCACTTAGCGCTAGACGTATCATTTTAGTTATTGGGGATACCTCACTACATATCAAGGATATTTCACTCTGAATTAATTTATTTAATTATCTATATTCTAGAAAATATAAGGGATGACTAAGAGGTGATAAAAAGTTGAAAACACCAATTCTTCGGATTACTACAATTGATTGTACATCCTGATTACAGATACTTCTATTACTAACTCTAACTTAACAAGAAACGCTAAAGCCTAAATATATGTTTACTTCCAATCGAAGAAACAAGTAACATTGCAGAATATTCTTCGGATTACTACGATTGATTGTACGTCCTGGTTATAGATAGTTCTGTTACTAATTCTTACTTAAATAGAAACGCTAAAGCCTAAATATGTGTTTTCTTCTCATCGAAGAAACAAGTAACACTGCAGAATTTAATTAATAAGATATTTAATTACAATACAAAAACAAACCAATGATCGATCACATCCGCATATATATCTTAATTCGGATTTTAAGATAAACATACATTCAACAATGCATCTGATGTTTGTATATCTATCTAGATGACACGATTTAATATTGATTAATCAAGGTTATGATATTGAAAATACCTTGCACATGACAATGCACCTATATGCTCACGAATCACTAATTGCTCAACGAGCCAACGGCGACAACAACTTCTTTTTCGAGAAAATTACACATAAGTACAACCAAGGTGAAATTTAAAAATACCCAGATTTGCAAGTGGTAATTGAAAAATAGCCACAATTTCAAAAGTAATCGAAATTTAGCCACTTTTCATGTAAAGATAAATCTGAAAAAAATATTGTTCAAAATTCGGAAAATATTCCAGCATAATATACTGGAGTTCGAATTTTTTATATATGAACTTTCAGCATAATATATTGGAGTTGCAGATAACATACTAGGTTTCAACATAATATACTGGAGTTCCACCATAATATGTTGGAAGTTCATGCACAGGTGCTCCAATCTCCAGTATATTATGCTGGAACTTTTCGTGTGCTGGAGTTCCAACATAATATGCTGGAAGTTCATACACAGGTGCAATCTCCAGTATATTATGCTAGAACTTCCGTCTTGCAGCAAAATAGTGGCTGTTTTTCAATGACTTTGCAAACGCTGGCTATTTTTCAATTACCGGTCCAAAAACTGGCTAGCCCGTGCTATTTGTTGCGTTTTTTCTTTAAAGGGTGTGAATGGGAAATGGAAGAGATACTTTTTGGATTGCACCTCTCCATATCACCCTTCCCTTGTCTACAAATTTAGAGGCTTGACCTCATTTTTCAGATATGGAAAATCTGAAAACTTCTCCCCTCTTTTCTATATCGTTGCGTTATTTTCCAAATAAATATAAGTGTCAAGTGCTCCGTTTGTTGAGTTCGCTGAAGTTCTGTGATTTGTAGTGCCCTATCACATAATAGTTATTCTGTTTTATCCTGGGAGAAATTAATCCATAACCTTAGGCAACAATGAGGGGATTAAATTCCTTAAGGACACACTGTGAATTCAGTTAGCTCAGAATTATTTTACGATTTGTTTCTTGAACTAACGTTTGTTGGCTTCTCTAATTTTTTGATTTTGAAAACAGTAATACCAACAACCTTAAGGAATTTAATAATCATTAAAAGATGGTATCAACTACTGTTTGCGGCGAATTTTCGCTAAAAAATGCAAACGTCGCTTTCATGAATACAAAGCGGCGTCTCTGTGCATTAAGGAAAAGGTAATCGGTTTTCTAGTACTGATGAACGAACATTGTGTCTATACTAAGATAAGAATATCATGGTTAAAAAGTTTTGGGTATTAAAAAGCCTACGTAACTTTACAACTTTTGTTGTTCATCATTCTTCTTAAAGGTTGGAACAACATTTGTCAATCCTCCGTGGTTTAGTTATGTGGATGCCATAATTATGGTTGCCATGTGAGATGCTTTAAAGCAGAGATAAGAATTATTATTAATAAATTCTTTCATATTCTGCACTATTTATTTTATGACATTATCTTAACTTGAGGATGGATAATTAATGACTACAATCATCATGGGATGATCATAAACTGATGGAGTAGTCTTTTTATCGGTTCTTAATGCACCGTCACTTACAAGAAAGTTAGACGACATGAAATTTAAGTCCAAAATTTTAGGATGTTTGAAAGATGCCAAATGGAAAATGGTGACCTGTTCTGTGTATCTGCCAACAAACCCATTTGGTTCGCCTTGGAAAAGAATCGATTTTGATGATGAAGATAAAAGGGGTGCAAAGAATGAGTTTTGAGACCCAGTTGGCTGAAAATCTTCAAGGGCAATTCATGTCCAGTAGGAATTGAGTTAGACCTCGATAATATTGATATTTCGAGGAAAACATAAGAGACAGTAAATGAAAAACAGTGCCGAATGAAACTGTTTCGGGGGAATACATCAGAGTAATGTTTTGTATTTTCTCTTGCTCAACTTATAATGTTTTCCCATTAATATTCTATCCTTTGTGAATTCAGTTTCTACAAATGTTAGGATAGATGTTTATTATGTGATGATCTCATAATTTATATTTGTTAGTATGCCATAAAATTAGTTAGTTGGTATATAACTTTGATAGCATGCTTAAAATTATGTGAAATAATATTTTTTCCAAGTTGTAAGACATGAATTAGGCTTACACTAACTCTTGAAAATATTTTGAGAATCATGAACATAATATATGTAAAGGTGTACATATATTTGTTTGATAAGGGAAAGAGATCAAACGGTTTAAAGTGTTATAATGGTTTAGCTGGAAAACCACTTGGAAATGGAATTAAATTAATTGTGATTTTCTACATTCGTTATGGAGAATAAAATGTTCGTGATTTTCTACTCCCGCTTCGAGATCAAAATCCGCGTGATTTTTCACTCGTTCGTTGAGATTAAAGTCTTCGTGACTTTCTGCTCATTTGTCGGAAATTAAAGTCTAAGTGACTTCATACTCGTTTTAGAGATTAAAATCTTAGTGATTTTCTACTCCAATTTATTATTCGGTTTGAAGATTAAAAACGTTACCGTTTATTAAATTTGATTGTGTCACATATTACTCGGTTTGAAGATTAAAAACTTCACCGTTTATTAATTCTGAATGTGTCAGATTGGTTTGAAGATTAAAAATTTCAACATTTATTAATTCTGGCCCTGTCGTGACACAAACAACAGTTCTTGTAGTTGACTCTACAACGTAATAGTGGCGTCGAATATGAATCTCCTTTTGAAGAAATATTTTTGTAATATAAAATTATTCACCAAACGATCGCCCCTTTGTCACCACAATCTAATGGAATTGTGGGAAAAAAAATATTAAAGGAGATGATGAATGTCTTGTTGATAAGTTCTGGTTTACTCCAGAACTTGTGGGGGGAGGGGGGGGGGAGTTATTCTTACAACTAACCGAATACTAAGTCGGGTTCCTCATAACAAGATGCAATCCATTTCATATGAAAAATGCAATGGAAGGAAGCCCAACTTAAATAAATTTAAAGTGTGGGGGTGCTTAGATAAAGTGCAAGTTCCTAAACCCAAAAGGATAAAGATCGGACGAAAAATTATTGATTGTGTTTTCATAGGATATGCAACAAATAGTAAGGCATATCAATTTTTGGTTCATAAATCAGAAAATTCCGACATTCATATTAATATGGTAATTGAATCAGATAAGGCTGAATTCTTTGATAATATTTATCCGTGTACAAAGTAATGTGAGTCTTCTAGTGAAATATCTAAGCGACCTCGGGAAAAAGCAAAGGAAAGTACACCTAATGAGGTGAATCCAAGACGTAGTAAACGTCAAAGGACAACTACTTTATTTGGACCAGATTTTCTGACATTCTTGTTGGAAAGTGAGTCTCAAAAGAAGTAATGTCTTGCTCGAAAGCACAATGTTAGAAGTAGGTAGTCAATAGTGAGATATAACCCATATTTAGTAATCATACTTGGTAATTGGTTAATCTTCCTCCAGGAAATAAACCTTTTGGTTCTTAGTGGATTTTCTTAAGAAAAATGAAAGTTGATGGTACTATTGACAAATATAAGGCAAGATTGATTGCCAAAGGATTAAGACAACGAGAAGGTCTTGATTACTTTGACACATACTTACCGGTAACGAGAATTACATCTATTCGGATGGTAATAGCGTTAGCCACCATGTATGGCCTTGAAATCCATCAGATAGATGTAAAGACAACCTTCTTAAATGAAGATTTGGAAGAAGCAATTCATATGGAA